CATCATCAGTTAGCATCCGAAATAAGTAAAAAACTAGTCAAGTTCATGTAAGCTGGTTTTGTAGCCATCTCATTTACAATTTTGAAATATTGTTTTTATGTAATCTCATATTGAAATGTAATTTTGTAACTCTGTTCCAGTTGAAATAGAACATGAAGAATATTCCCCATCAACATCTACAGTGTCAGAGGGGGAAGGTATGGTACACAAAATAATATTTATTATTCAGATTACATTATATAGTTAACTTTTAGAACTACTCAATCAGGAAGACTTAACAGTAATTTATAAATCAGATGAGGAGGTGACGGAAACAAAATTAGACAAGACTATTGTAGGTATGTTAATAAAAAAAAATGTTTTTCAATATTATATTATTTTATTTTTTAGAAGAAAAAAACTGGTCAAAAATGTCTGTGGAGAATCTTAGAACTCCTAAAGCTAAAGAATTAAGAGGAGACAATAATACCAGAAAAAGTAAGTGATGTACATGTATGTTAAAAAGTCCTATATTTAAAAATAGTGTAAATTGTTTTAAAAGTATAATATGGTGTAGTAAATATTCTATTACCACTAACATGTAAAAACTCTATGATATTAGAGGATTAAGTATCTTATAAATAAGTTCAACGACAGTAAATTGATTAAAGTTTTGATAGTAATAGCATAATTCATTACCTTAAATTGTTTTTTTTTAGATAATACACTGAAATCAAAATTAACTGATTGGGCCAAGTCCAAACAAGATTTACTGTCTATACAGCAGAAGTGTATTATTGATGAAAGCCGCCAGAAATTACAACACAATGAAGAAAAACATAAACAAGAATTAAGACATAGGGAGGAGAGGCACAAACAGCAGTTAAAAATGGAAAAAGAGGAACATCGTATAAAAATGGATATTTTAGAATTGCAAAAAAAAACAGTTGTCATAAATTATTGTGAATAAAATTTATTTTATATTGGCTTATACTTTATGTATTCCTTCTTCGATTGCAATCCATGCATCAGTGAGTATTAGTATTAAATTATATATTTTTGAAATGTATTGTAAATTATGCATTATCAAAACTATAAAATTTATAGTAGTCATCATCATCAATCAGCCCTGGTTTGTCCATTGTTGAACATAGGCCTTCTCCAAATATTTCTATCTAACTCTATTCTGCACCTCTGCTAAAAACCAATAAAATAATACTAATATAACTATGATACAAGGATACATAAGATATTTATAAAAGTCTTTGAAAATATTGGGTAATTAGATTATGCCTAACCAAATTGTTAATATTAAAACGAGGAGCATCAGGTATCACCAAATTAATATTATTTGCCTCTTCTATCGCTGCTGCAATATTTTCATTAACAGGTAGGTCTGGTTCGTTTCTCATACGTGCTATGTTATGAAGTACTATACATGCAAGAACAAGAGCTTCCACCTTGTCTATATTGAGTCTTATTCCTAATGCTAAAACTGGAAATCTTCTTTTAAGAACTCCGAAACATCTCTTTATAGGGTTACGGGTTCTAATTTGACTTTCATTAAACAACTGCTCCACTCGAAGTTGTACATTAGCCAATGGTGTTATTAAATAGGGTTTTATGGCATATCCAGTATCACCCACTAAAACGGCATGTCCAAACTCTCCATTTTCAAATTGGGCTCTCAAACGTGAATTTTCAAATATGGTAGAATCATGAACTGATCCTGGCCATCTACATACTACATTTTGAATAATTAGATCAGGTTTACAAACAGCCTGCACATTAAATGAAAAAAAGCCTTTTCTGTTTCTGTATATTTCAGCATTATTTCCTCCAGGAGACTGTATTTTAATATGCGTGCAGTCTAATGCACCAATACATCTAGGGAATCTACTAATATTGTAAAATTGTTCTTGGACCCTTATCACTTCTTGTTCAGTCTCTGGCATTTTAATGAACTCTGGTGCAAGTCTTGCTAAGCTTCTCAGAACTTTTCTAATTATACGACTGGCAGTAGACTTGTCAATACCTAAAAGAAATAAATATTTAGCCTAATCAAGTTTAACAATAATGTAATACTTCATTTCACTTTAGGGACCATGGCAAAATTACAGAGAAAGCATTAGTCATATAATATAAAAGCCATTTTGTTATGCAATTATTATTACCTGTGAAATCTCCAACTGCTTGTAATGTTGATCCCGTTGCCAAAAACCTCAAAGTCAGTAAAACTTTTTCTTCAGCAGTTACAGTATTGACTCTAAAAACCAGCAGTTTAATAAGTTATAACTTCAGAAGTTAAATAAAGCATTAACTTACTCATACTTAATACAACTAATGTCTTCCTCAATCTCTTCCAATATAAACTGAACAGTTTCTTTTGATAATCTTAATCTAGATCTAAATTCTTCAGGATTCCATTTCAAGAAGTGATTTTCTCTCTGCCTGAATGTTCTTGGAGCCCTAGGGAACAATTCCAATTCCAGTAACTCTAAAAAGTCTTCATCATCTGTTAACTGCAGTTCTTGCAGATCGCCTCGTTCTAAATTCATTATATTACAATGTACATAAAAACAAAAAACAGACCACTTAAAATTGAGGTTAAACACAATTATTAATTATGATATGTTTTTCGGCACCACCACGGAGGCATTCTCGGCTCGGAACACTGTTTTTAAGAAAATATTTTATTGTTCTTTGGCCTGACCAAAGGTTAACCCATCGAATTTAGCGGATCAAAAATTCTAAGGTTAACCCGTCGATTAACCACGGTCAAACCGAGTTACAACGATGTTTGGACATTTGACCATTGACTAGAGGTTAACCACTCGAGTTACAACCCGCCCTAAGGAAATTATCAGCAATTTCGACCAAGTCGAAAAAGCACAAATATTCCCTCTGAAAATGGCCGCAGGTTTTCGCACGAAAACCGACAAAGTTCACTGGGGAACTTCGCCAAAGGTAGCGTTGGAGATATAGTAAAAAGTCAGAAGTTGGTTTGAGACTACAGAGAACTTAATCAATCTGCAGAGCTCGACTTGCCTTAGGAGGCTAGAGTGGCGGACATATCCTGACCCACTCTAGTTTCCTATCCGTGGTGCGTTTCCTTTATAGAGAAAAAAGTAGGTCAAAGCGTAACAGTTTTCAACCGTCACTTTGCCTACATCGCACGACGACCAATGCCCAATTTTCTGTATTATCATTGGTTGCAACTCTGGTGCATTTTGGCCAATGATTATAGCGAAAATGAGCAACAGCGTCCAGAATTATAATTGGCTGCACCTAGGTTGCAGTATTGACCAATCACAATTCAGGAGGCTGGGCGACATTGATGTCGATGACCAAGGGCCTCCGGAAAGGAAGAAGGCTGGTCCATCGCTCTGTCCGTCGCTGTAGATGACCTTAGGGTGTAAGGTTTCCGGTCAGTGGCCATAGATATTGTCTATGGTCACTCAGCTAAGGATAAAGGGGTTGTATCACGTACTAGTGATGTTAGTAAAGAATAAAACTCACAGATAATGTTTATTAAATGATAATAAAGTAATAAGTAAATATCAGAGGTGAAGTAGGTTTAAAACTCAGAAATAACGTTTATTTTTAATAATAATAAGCAGTTATCAAAGGTAAAGGGGTTTTAAAACACACACAATAAAGTTTATTAACGATAAAAGATAATAAGCAATTATTAAATGTTAAATAATAACAATAAGAATCTAAGCCTAAGAATCTGTAAGAAAAAGGGGATAATTCGCTTTAGATACAATCTATAAGACAATTATGCCAATTAGGCTTAAACTAAGAATGTGAAATAAAATATACGATTAATCTAAACACCTAAAGTCATAAAAGAACAAAAGTGCAAATTAATAAATATGGAGAAGTCTCCAGGAGGTCAAAAATTAAGAGTATGAAGGAGTAGAGATACAACCTAAAATAAGTGGGATTTGTCAGGCGTAGTGCCATCGGACAAATCAACAATAAAAAGGATCAAAAGTCAATAAACAAAATAGTTATTAACAATTAGTGAAAAGTTTACCAAAACTTTCTAAGTCGCTGAGACAAAAAAAAAGTAAAATAATCACAAGTTATTTTATACCAAAATCTTTCAAGTCCTAGATAAAGAAAGAAAATAATATTACAAATAAGTCCTTAGATAAAAGGAGGAAATAAATCGTAAAAATATTACAAGTTATTTTATAGCGAAAATATTTCGAAGTCCCTAAAAAAAAGAGGAATTAAATAAATCGTAAAAATATTACAAGTTATTTTTATAGCGAAAATATTTCAAAGTCCCTAGATAAAAGGAGGAATTAAATAAATCGTAAAAATATTACAAGTCGTCGTATCCTAACAACAACGTTGGATCTGCAAAATGTTAACTTTACAGGAGGGCAATTTGAAGTTTCCAATTTGCATAACAATATAAAAATCATTGAATGATCTATCCCAAAGAATTACAAATTTGGACATAACTGTTTAATAAGGTATACTTTAAATCATTGCCAATATTTTTTTTCCAATTCCAATAAGTTTTCTGAAAATTCACTTCCGACGTTGTTGAAAAAACCGCGCACAAGCATTAGTGTCGGATGTGACAAATCCTACATTGTTGCATGGAACATAATTAGAATATATTGTCGTATCCGACACATGCGACTTTGTTGCACTGACATTTAATTTAAATAATATGTCGTATGTAACCTTTAATCAAATTACTACATACTAATGTCGCATTGAGTTTCAATCTCTAACTAAAATGGAGATAAAAAAAATATTACAACGTTTGGTATTTTTAATTTTACATAAAAATTAAAACAAATGATTTTATTTTTTTTTTCAAAACAATAAACATTTTATTAGTAAAGTACCTACATAAAAAATTGGTAAAAAAAAGTAAAAAATATCATTTTTATTAAAAAAATAAAACTACATTGCAGAAAGACATGTAAATACTAAATTCCAATAGCACATACGTTAGCATTTATTCTGAACTGTCATTATCAGACATATTATTATTATTCCGGTGTTTTTTTGTTTTTGTTAAGATTTTTGTAAAAATTGTGGTATCGCTGTGGAATAATTCCAGTGGCACATAACTGGTTTAGGTCCTTAAATTTGTCCAAAGAAATAGGTCTAAATCCATCATAACAATCTTCTAATGCTACTTTTCTGGTGTGAGCATTTCGAGTACTTCCCCTAGTCACTACAATTGTTTTGTAGGCACTATCCAACACATATTTATAGTCAAAACGATCAGTGTAGTTGGGAAGAACGCGAAGTTCGCGAATTTTACACCAACTGACTTTTCTTTGTTAATGTTTATGGTCCAATTTTTTTTAACCAGCAATGCTTTATAATTCTTAAAATTGTTGCTGGCCATCTCTTTTACAATATATGGATCTCCGGAAGTTTTTGCCCATCTTATCATAGTGTGCCATTCAGTTGGTATAAAGATATCTTTAGAGTGACTTGCTTTCTCTATGACCGAATGTACGCTATCCCCTTCATTTTGCGTGTGGCCTTTCTCTAAAAATCTATGAAAAATTGATACTTTCAATTTTTTAGCTGCATAGAGATAACTAGAGAAAACAATCCGGTTTCTATTGTGGCCTCCACAATTATCAGACCAGAATCGAAATTCTTTAACCCCAAGTTCGGCATTTTGTTTCATGAAATCAAATAAACAACTCGCAACCTCATTAGCGCCTCTGCCGGCAATACCCTCGTGCCACATATAAGAAATAGCGGATTTGGTGGCAAGGTTGTAAACAGTAAAATTGAAATTGGAAAGCTTTCTCTTGTAGTAAAAAATACTAACTTTTCCGTGTGGAGAAGGTAGCACTTTCTGATAATCAAAAGTGGCAGCTAGAATACTTCCGGAAGAATTAAAGGCTTCACTTTTGTCTTTATGTTTAAGATCTCGAGCTATTTGTTTGTTCTGTTGATGTTCAAGATATTTTTTTTGTTCTTCAGAGGTAGGATTTGTTGTGTTTTTAAAAATATGACACTGATCACAACAATCTTTTTTAGGGAAATGAAATGACAAATTAAAATTAGAATTTACTATGTCACGGTATTGTCGTAAGGTTTCACATTTTTGTCCATGTAACGATGAGTCATACCATTCCAAATACAAATTAAACATCCTGGCCATACTTAAACCTTCCTCTAGATAAAGCTTAGTTGAATTTTTTCTCACGTAATGAGATTCAATGGGTGCAAATGAGTTTATGTGATCACAGACGCTCCTTATCATACTTTCATTGATCATCTTTTGTGAATATAGAGACCTCTCAGGTCCCTTTCTACAATACCACAACCATCATATTTTTGCCACGCCGTTTTAACAATACGCTCACTTGTCGCAAGAGTATTTAGGAACATTATTTTGCAGACGTTAATAGATTGATAAGCGGTGAGAGAATTATAGTCATTTTGTTCTTCGTTTAGTTTCTTAGGTAAAAAATACTTAAAGGTATATTCTCTTTTATGACTAATAATATCTGTTGTAACTCGTCTTTTGGCTTCTTTGGTAGTATATTTCAACACAAATTTCCACTGCTTGTGACGATCTCCTATGTTCCAAAATTTGTTAAAAATGTTTGAACGCTGTTTAAGCGTAAACTTTTGAAAACACTTCAAACGACATGAGCATGGATTTTTTATTACTTTTTCTTCAATTCTTTTTCCCCTTTGGTTAACAAACTCTTTTCCAAGATTTTTCTTACTCTTTCGTTGCATCTTTCCCCACTGATCCTTGTGAATAAGTCTCTTCTTTCCTGTATCTTTTTTCAATGCTGACTTACGCTTACGACTACTTATGCTAGACGATGTGGCTAAACTTAAGGATGGCGAATTTACGCTTAAAACTGATGATGGCGTTGACAATTCTTCGGAAGATACAGTAACACGATACGATACACTATCTATGATATCGATTTCTTGACACAGACAGAATGAGCCATCACAAAACTGACCACATGGCTCTGGGGATGGACATGGTGTCGGATATGGTGTAATACATTTATCATCTGAATAAAGACTGATCGTTGCTTTAACTAGTGCAGGGGACGTATTGTTTATTCCAATGGTAGGTTTTATTCCAACAATTTGATGTGTAAATTCTGATGGCAACGGTTCACCGGTATCTGTAACGTAAATGAAATTTTTTTCTAAAATGTTATACAACCAATCTATCGGTAGCAAAATAATGCAAATAAACTTAGTTAACCTTACCCTCTTCGTCATTTGATTCTAGCAGTGATGGCAATAGCTGTTCTTGTAATATACTTGACTCAGAATCGTTATGTTCTGGAAGTATGGTACAAACTTCAATTGGTGCAGTGGTCTCATTGTTCACTATGTTACTAATTTCGTTGTCAAAGCCTTCATTTGCAAGTTCCAAGGGATTAGGTGTATCAGTATTTGTAATAACAAATGTGGGTTTATCTAAGATTTTAAAAACTAACAAATAAAAAACTGCAACATTTACAAATTACTTTTTACACGTTCAACAATGTAGCATGTTTTTTTCAAGCATTTAACAATGTTGGATTTACCACATACAGCAAAGTATCAAAATAAAAGTGCTTTCAATAACGTCGGATGTGTCAGTTACGACAATAAGCATATTTTGTTTTTCAGTTAAATTAGTAGTATCTGCCACATAATACTTTTACTTAAAAATAACTAAGCAATAATAAACATCTTCTTACGTTTAAAAACATTGTTAAAATTCACGACGCATTGCATAAATATCTTTTCCGGTCAACATCGTCGGATGTGGCAAATCCGACGTTGTTGTTTACATTACTGTAATAGTTTTGTTTTATTTTAAAAACTGTTTTAAATTATATTACATTCAAAATAACAACACTTTATTTGCTTAAAATAATGTATAACTATATAAAAAAGTCATTAACAAACCTTGATTGTCTGCTACTTGGTCCAAATCATTTGTCATCTTTTCATGTATGGCACTGTTTAAAGCAAGCTCCAATAAATATTTTCCTCTTTTTGACTCAATTTTTAAAGAAAATGCTCAATATGTATAAGTACTTATCCTTTTGGTTGATTCGTTTGGCTTTTTTATAGAAAAACTAACTAAACTCACTCATACACTAACCACGTGCTCACGTCCGTTTAACAGTGTCGCTACTGGTATATACAACACCACTGACGAGGGAGATAATGCGCGCGCTTTCAGCAACAATGTAGCGTGTAGACAACCGACATTGTTGAACCAAGAGTAATAGCAGATATTACATTGTTGAAGTAAAAAAAACGAAAACTGTTGGAATTTTCACAAATTTGCTTCTGACAATTTAATTAATGACACTTTATAAGCGCTTTAGTTAAAAAAACTAAAAATTGCTTTTTTGCAGTTCCGACGTTGTTGTTAGGATGCGACGATCTGTAACTTCATAATCTGGTACAAATTCTTCAAAAGTTTCTCTGGGTAATTTATTCAATACTGCTTCAGTTGGCATTTTACAGCATGGAATTCGATTTCTGCGTACTGTTTCAAGACTATGAATTCCTTGTTTCGCCAAAAACCTAATTACAGGTACGGATGTATAGTAATTATCAAAATACAACTTGTGATAACAATTTCTAGGAATTTCCCGTGCCAATCTCACGACAATGCTGCTACTTGCACCCAAATCAGATTCGTTTTGTAACCGTTTTGTTGGACCATTTTCCGTGCCAGTGTATATTTCAAATTTATAACAAAAACCTGAAACTCCAGAAAGCACAAAGAGCTTATATCCCCATTTGTGTGGTTTGAGCGGCAAGTATTGCTTTATGTGGTGGCGAGCTTTTGTTGCACATATCTGCTCATCTATAGACAGCCTTTCTTCCATAGGTATTGTTAAAAATATTGGTGATAGGGAATTTACAACAGGTCGTAATCTGTGTAATTTGTCATCGGCTCAATCAATCTGATTGTCATTAAAATGTAAATTAGATCGTATTTTTTCAAATGACTTTTGACTCATAGCATTTTGGACTATTGCTAATCCAATAGTATCATTCCAATACATTCTTATATTAAGTATTGAAACTACAGAAATTATTATACAAATTCACAAATATTTGTTCAAGTCATTCTTTGTTATTTCAAAAGGTTTAGCTGGATTTTTTTGAATGCTGTATCTAGTACTTTCTTCAATGATTTTTTCTATGAGATCGTCATCGAAGAAATGTTTAAAAAATTGGTATGGTGTCTGTAAATCTAAAATTACATTTGGCAGAGTAGTATTCCCTGTAAATGTTGATGGTACGTTTCCAATCTTTTTCTTTCTTCATAACAACTCCTTACATTTCACCTTCATGTTTAAACTTCAGATTTAGAAAAACTATTAGTAGAAGTCTTTTTGGATTTGATAGCAGCTTCTTGCGCTTTATCTCCACTGTCATCTGAGTTATCCACGTTACAGTATCCGTTTGATTGATTATGTTCGACATCAGATACCATAATCTTCATTTCATTGGTGCCTCGTTGATTTAAATATTTATCCAACAGATCCGCAGAAATAGGTGCAGGTATATTTGTAGATTGTCCAGTTTCATCTTCGTCGTCACTAAAATCATCTAATTCATCTTCACTGCCACTGGGTATGTTTACTAGTAAATCAAGTAAACCGTCGTTGTCTAATTCATCCACCGAATTGTTTTATGTCCATCTTTATATAAAAGAGACATCTGCAACAAAAAATGATAATATCAATGAAACTATCATTTTTGCGAACGTAATATAAAATGTTACAACTCTTATATTTTTTTGTGCAATTATGTATCCGAAAGCGCAGTGATTCAAATATGAATCGACTGTTATTTTTCCAATTTCAAAGTAAGTAAATATATTTTTCAATTATTATATCAGTGCACGAGATGCAAAACTCGCTTAATGCATGTAAAGTCAATTTAAGAAAAGTGCAAAAAACGTTTTTTGCATTATATTTTTTAATAACCAATTAATGATGTTAGCGTGCCTTTAGAACATATACACATCTAATAGTTTTTAACATATTTTAAAAAAATAGTGCAGATTTTTTAAATAAATGAAGAAAAAAGAATGCATTTAGCGAGTTTTGCACCAAAAAATGTTGCATCAATAGTTTGAAACAAATTTTATTCACAAAGAAATTAAACAGTGATTTACATATTACATTAAATTGGTAAATTAATATCGCAAAGTTTTAAACCACTGCAGCCAGCTTTAACATCGTTTACAGAATTTTGGTTTTCCACCATTCGAGGGTTAACAAGATTTTCTTTAAAGAAAACCAAATCAGGATTTTCTTCCCAGGCGTTTCCATAATGTTTTTTGAGAAGAGAAATTATTGTCGATTTATCGCCTTTGAGTTTGCAGCCAATAGGAAGTTGAGTAGGATTGATACGTGTCAATTTTATTCCTCTCTTGACAACAGACTTGGCTTCACCGACGTCAACACAATAATTGGGCTCACCTCGTATTAGTGCATTGGTTTTCCCTTTAGTAAGCACAAACCTTTTAGCCTTATTAAACTGAAAGTGCCTTGAGGATGGTGCTTTGGTGTTTACTTGTGCTTCATTCTTCCAGTCATACACTTGCCAATCTAAACCCAATTTTCTAATTGTCGACTTATTTGCTATAATATCTTCCTAGTCAGAAGTTTTTAAAATAATGGATTTCTTTTTAACCTCTCTTTCAATTATTCCGAACAACATATGAGGTGGTATAAAAGAATGTCCTACTACGGGGAATATTATGTTAATGGTCTTTATGTTTTTGGGAGCTTTCGTCATCAACCAAACAGAAAGCATGGTCATCATTATAATATTCTTATTTTGCCTACCACATCCATCAGCAAATAAACGAATTGTATCGATTTCATTGGGAAAGTTAAACTTATTCAGTACATCCCAAACAGCTGAAGCTATCGAATTAGAATTTTTGGGAAAATCAACCTCCGTCCAAACATAAGAATAAACATTTTCTGGAACCAACTGTGCTGCTGATGATCCATGAATTACCGTAAAGTTGTAATAGTTAATTTGTTGACTAAAATAACTAGCTTGATCCGGAAGCTTCGGCAAAGGCAAATTTTTCTGACAATCAAACGAAAAAAACCGCTGTATTTTCTAGCGGCTGCTTTAATAAGGCAAAAAATGCCTTTGCTTTAAGTCTGTGTATCCGTTGCTCGGTGATAATAATTTGCTTTTCTGAACTAGAAATATTTTTGTTTTTTAACTTTTCCTTCGATCTTAAGCAGGTTGAGCATAAATCAGTTTTTGGGGTGCCAAATCCGATGTTGTAATTAGAATTTATGTATGTCCTAAAAAATGCCAGTTTAACATGTAGTTGGTTATCGCGAACTTTAGATTCGTATATTTTCCATAATTTTGTAAAATTAAGTTCACATGGTAAATAAACACGAGTACTGATTTGACTTCTACAGTAATGGCTCTCTATGCATTGGAGAGATTCAATGAAATGTTTTATTGCTAACTTTTTATCATCGTTTTTATTAAGTATGCGATCACCTCCTCTTGTTTCTCGTGGTATATTCCCTTTTAAAACAAAGTTTTTCATGACTCTCTCAATCCGATCTCTACTAAGGGATGTGATTTTTAAGAATGCCGTCTTACAAACACGGATTTTTTTTAGCAGAAGTGGTTACATAATACAAAATGGATATTTTTTCCTTTCCACTTTTGATCTTTTGCACTTCTGGCCTTCACAAGTTGCAATTATAAAACTATCTTGTCTACATTTTTCCTTAGAAGCATACAGTTTTCTATGAAAATCTTGAATTTCGCTCATTGTTAAAGTGACACAAAAGTATGGCTTACCTGGCTGACCGTTATGTCCACAGGTCGGGTACTCCGGTAAATGTGTCGGAGTGTGCCTAAAATAACACAGTTTTAAAAAAATATTCTAACAAATTGATATCGTTTTTATTACCTTAATCTTTTGAGCTTTTGTCTTTTACTTTCCGTCGTAATTTTCGTTCTACACATGTTCTTTGGAGTAGGTTGTATTGCAGAACTAACACTATCATTGGCTGCAGAAATTTCACTGTCTATTTGCATTTTAATAATTTTAAAAACGGGAAACTTCAAGTTAAACAAACAATTCAGAATACCGCTAAAACGCGACTGAGTCAAACGGTCAAACCACACCAGGAAACAAACAAAATGCATGATGCCCTTCTTTAACCACGTGAGTAAAATCCGATGCTGTGATTGAACGCCGTACAAATAGAGAGTTTTGCATCGCACACATCAATGCATAAAGCGAGTTTTGCATCAAGTCATGATTTTTGGGACGGAATTTTCGTGTGTTAAAAAGCTAGTTTTGCTCCAAATACTTGTGTAAAATAATAATTAAATATTGTACGAACAAGATGGCGTGCTTAACTACTTTTTTCAATTTTTGTCGATTAGCGAGTTTTGCATCTCGTGCACTCATATCAACTAACATTCTTTTATTAAAGTTACAAATAGCTCAATAATTTTTTTGTACTCACCCTGGTAATAATTAACAAGTTATTAGTAAAATAAAACACCACAAAAGCACAAATATTTCATATTATTTATGAGGTTTTCTCTACAATTACTTGATATAATATTACTTACTTGATATACTTTCCGTGGATAGAATAACCTCAGGCGTACTTGTGGAACTTTCCTTTTGTTGATCAATTATACTAGAATCTAGAAAACAAAACTTTTACTTTTAAAATTAAACATGTCTTATAAATAACGTACCAGTTTTCCTTTGCATTAATGCCAATTCTACTATTTTTGCCACCCTGGAAGTCATTTTATTACAGAAAATCAGGAGCAAGCACAAAATACTTTTGTCACTCAGTAAACAATATTGTATAACCTCAAAATTAACACGTGTAAAGTGGTAGGTACACCATTTGTTGGATAAACCGTCAAAGAAATACATGCACAAATGTGGTAGGTGATTTTACAAGTGCGCATACAGATTTTAAGTGTAAAGTACTTATACTGAATGGCATATGGCGCTAGAGGTATTAAATTTATGGATTTAATCTACCACTTTTGTGCATAATAATTCTATAGCTTTAAATATACTTACGTGATACTTAACTCATTTTTCCTACAGATTGCACTTACAACATTTGTGCGCTACACCATCGATATGTCACTATCAGAATAACAAACTAGGCTTTTGGGACATTGTATACCCATTGACGGTGGTATCTGTAAGTGAATTTTTATAATAACAAAAACTATAGATGCTAATAATTCAGAGTACAATATACACTCTATATATAAATGGAGGCACAAAATATTCGCTAATAACGGTGCAATTTTATAAAATTTCTATTTACAAGGATTGTTTCTTCATTTGTTGTATCATAGCAGTCTATTGAGTCCAATAATAATTCATGATTTAAAATATTTATTTGAAGATGATCATTATTTTCTTTTTGTACCTAAAATAACAATACTTAATACTGTTTGAAATAAAAAAGTAAAAGCCTTAGGGTCGGTACTTCCATCCCCGATTAGACTTGATCATGACTAATTTAAGTCTAATCAGGGATAAAAGTACCGACTACAGCTCTGATTAAACTTAACCGCCTGACAAAATTTTTCTAACCGGGGTTTAATCAGGACAGAAAGTACCGGCGCGGCCCGTAGTTTATAATAAATCTGTATTTATATAGTAAAGCAGCGGTTCTCAATATATGGTACATGTACCACTGGTGGTACATATTATTATTTGTCGTGGTACGCAAAACGGAAAATCACAGCCAACATCAGCACCACTATTATAGTTAATTAGATTACCGAATTTCAGTTACGTGGTACCTACCAAAAAAATTAATAAAAAGCATTTTGTGGTACATGACTCAAAAAGGTTGAGAACCACTGTAATAAAGTAAAACAAATTGAAACTTACGTCTTCATTAGATTCACCTTTATTATTTACGGGTTTTTGATTTATAGAATTATTATCCAATGAGGAATTTTTCGTTAATAATCCAAGTATTTTTTGTGCTTTTGAAGACGCCATTCTAAAACAAGAATATAAATAGTAGTCCGTTTAGTTTGAATATTAGTTTATTCTTGTTGATAGTCAACAAGAAACAAATTCAATTATATTATCAAAAAATAAGTACATAAATATCTAATGCGAACATTAAACTCATTGCATATCAAAAGTAGGACTATTACAATAATTATTGATTATTTTTAATAAAGAGAAACAAGTCAAAACGTGAAAGTTTCTAACTATTTTTCTAATAAAATAATAGTACCGTAGAATGGGGATACATTGATCATTTTTAAATTTGAATGTTAAACAAAACTTTTATCTATGACGCCAAATAACAATTGGAGACCTGCCCGGAAAAAACGTTGCAAACGACAAAATGAAACTTTTTAGATAATCACAAAAAACGATTCTGGTAATATTATTTACCAAATTTTGTGAATTTAAGTGTTGCTTATGTATATTACTGGTAAGGTAAAAACTTTGTATATAAATAACACAGAACAAAAGACTAATGAGCGCAAAAAACCAAAAAGAAATTTTTTGTAGAAGAAAAAACGTTGCATGTGTACCTAATGTTAACGCACATGCAACGTTTTTTCCGTTGATTGTGCTTATAAACGATATTCCTTGCAACATTTTTAACATAGAAAAATACGAGCATTATTAAAATGTCCCAAAATTACAGTAAATGAAAATACGAAAAACTGAAAAGTAAAAAAAATTTATTCTCAATAAAACTTACATACTAGATTACTAGAATTACATAGAAACATAATTCACAATAAAATGATCTATACTGTTCTGCTAAACATTCAGTCATTTTCAGCAAGTCTGCTTTTTTCTTATCAGATATAGTTAAAGGTTCTCTGTACAGTGGAGGCAAGGTTTCTGGTTCAATTAAATTGTAAACTGTATTTCGGACTGCAGCTCGTCCTCTTGGTATCTTTAGTAAAGTGATGTCCGCCATGGTTGCAGGATATTGTGCCTTTGTCTTATCCGCAGAACAGTCGGTTCGTTTGCTGTGACCTGTATCCAACGTGCTTCTGTTATTTTAATACTATCTTTCTTAATTTGACTCTCAACTGAGGTCAAGTCAACAAAGTCCTTCTGTTTCATTTCAACTACTTGAAAAGGTTTTCTTGATCTTGCTGATTTGATTAGCTCAAGTACATCTTGAGTGGAATATAGCTGACTACTTTTTTTCATCTTTTCGATGAGTGCAAAATCCCTATCACAGGGTAAAAAGCTGTGCCCGGATACCAAAAATTTTTGATTTACTTCAGTAAAGAACTTAGCTGGCATTAGATAGTGACACAATGATATTATCTTCCAATTATTATTTTGGCCGACACATCGGTCAGACCATAGTATAAGTTTTCGTTCTGCTCCAACCTCTAGTCTCTTAAAATTCTCAAGAATATACCTTAAAATACAAGAAGAAATTTCAGCACTGCCCCTCTTGGCTACAGTTTCATGCCAACAACACATAGTAGCTTCAGAGGTTCCCATATTGTGGATAGCAAAATTGTAATTTGCGTACTGACGCTGGTAATAAACATCGGAATGTGATAAGTTAGGTATAAAAATGACTTGTTGCAAATCCACACATAAAACTATCACATTTGAATTTACCTTAGCTGCTTCTTCATCAGCTTTCAAAGATGAATATGCACTTTCTGCCTTTCGGTGACGTAGCTTGTTGAATGCTTCTAACTTGTTTAGCATTGTGGTAGCTCGGATTCAGTTTAAAGCTTTTTTCGTTCTTCTTCGTTCTCTGCAGCACTCTGTTTTATAAAAATTTTATCACACACTTTGCAAGTATCGGAGCGAGGAAATCCAAAACGTAAATTAAAATCTTCTTTGAATATTTCTCTGTAAGTATGGAATTTTACTTCAATTTCTGGATGCAATATTTTAAACAGCTCAAACATTTTGTTAGTGTTATGTCAGGATTAAGGCATTGTTTTTTTGTTGGAGTTTCGAGAATAGTGGCTTTCTTGAGATGGAAAAGACGAAATATGTTGGACGATTGTTTTTGTTGGACGATTTACATGTTTTCCACGGCAGTCAAGCAATAATGTTTTATTTGACTTGATTTTTTCAATTAAAATTTGAACTCTGCGTTTTGTTATAGAATAAGTTTCACAAAACAGTTTTTTGGCATACCTGTTGTCTTTTTCCAGTAATCAACAAAAAATATTTTACAGTACACTGGCGTTTTGATGTGGCTTCATCTACCCTTCTTCTCTTTGGCTCCTTTACTTCCATCTTCTTCTTCTTTGGGTGCCGTGTCCGTATTCAGACGTTGGCCGTCATCATGTTTACAATTTCCTGAAACCTTTCTCTGTCGGCTGCTGCGCGAAATAATTCTTCTACTGTGAAACCACACCATTGTCTAATATTACGCAGCCATGAAAGTTTCTTTCGACCAATCCATCTCTTTCCTTCCACTTTTCCTTGTATAATAAGGCGAAGTAAATGGTATTTGGGTCCTCTAATTATATGGCCGAAGTATTCTGTTTTTCTCCTCTTTATGATGTTTATGAGCAGACGTTCTGAGTTGATCATTTGAAGAACATCTTCATTGGAAGTGTGCGAAACCCACGATATCTTTAGGATTCGTCTATAGCACCACATTTCGAATGCTTCTAACTTGTTTAGCATTGTGGTTTTTAACGTCCATGTCTCACAACCATACAATAGGATCGACCACACATAACATTTCAGGACCTTCTTACGAATCTTCATTGACAGGTTTCTGTTGCATAAAACTGGTTTCCAGGTCATAAAAGCCTTACGTGATATTTCGATCCTGGATATTATCTCTTCATCAGAGTCACAATTTACATTTAACCAGCTGCCAAGGTATTTGAAATGATTTACCCTTTCTATCTCTTCTCCATTAAGAGAAAGCAGACCTTGATCTATATGGATCTTTCCAACTGCCATCCGCTTTGTCTTTGAAATGTTGATTTTTAGGCCTCTCCGATAACTTGCTTCACTGACTAGATTTAGTAATGTTTGGAGATCTTGTAAACTTTCTGCAAGAATGTTTTTTACTTCCATACATAACCCCAAAAGTTGTGACTGTTCATTGTATGTTTTTTTAAAGAAAACATTAAATAAGTTCTGTCTCATTTCAAGGGTAATTAACTTACATCCGTTGAACGAACATGCACAAGATCTAGCCTAAAACAAAAATATGAATGTACAGATTGTTAACACATGTAACGTTTTTCCACTTACCACATTAGGAGGCAATTTTTCTGGAACAGGAACATTTTTATAATTTTTGTAAGATTGTCCACTGTTTTTTAAGCGCTTACGCTTTTCTTTCACCCAATTTTCAAAATTTATTTGTCGTTTTTTACCTTTATTTAGATGATTTATGACACGCGATGTAGACGATAACTCTCCACACTCCGCCATGTTTAATGCACAAGTAACGTTTTTTCCTCACGCGTCGTGTTTTGAAGTTGTGTAAGGAGGGTATTGAATTGAAATGAATGCCTATAGATGGTGTCACTAGTTCGCTTAACGCATAAAGAACGTTTTTCCACCAAAACATCACTTTATTAAAATTTGTCGCTTACAACGTTTTTCCGGGCAGGTCTTCAATTATTATAAGTATTAGTTACACTTGCCAAGGCGAACACAAAATTACGAAACACGAATTATAAGTCTGCATCTTTTAAGTATGTGCTAACTTGCGACTGTATAGTCTTTTTACATTCATTTTCACATACTATTTAATTTAATGCTTTTTATGTTTACAAAAATAATCATAA